CAATATACAAAAGCAGCAGATATTTACTCATTTGGAATAATAATGAACGAATTTCTTTCTGAAGAAATTCCTTTTAATGATATTCCTCATAATGAATTTTTAGCTATTAAAATATGTAAAGGACTTAGACCAACAATTTCTAAAGACATACCAAAATTACTTGCAGATTTAATAATAAAATGTTGGGATGCTGAAATAAAGAATAGACCGACCACTAAAGAATTGTATCAACTATTAAAGAAATGGGATGATGAAATTAAAGAAATTGAATATAGTGAATATAGTGAAGATGATGAAGATTGCGAATATAGTGAAGATGATGAAGATGGCAAATATAGTGAAGATGATGAAGATGGTGAAGATGGTGAAGATGGTGGAGATGGTGGAGATAGTAAAGATGTTAAAGATAGTGATGATAAAAATAGTGAAAATTGTGACAATAGTCAAAATAGTGAAATATATTTTCAATTAAAAGAATGTGATAGAATTAAAAAAGAAAAATTTAAAAACAAGTCAAATGAAGATAAATCCAAAAGCTTCAAAACGCATCCACAAGCAATTTATACTAGTAGACTTTTAAATTTCAAAAATCTTCCAAAACCAGTAAATTCTTCAGATTTATCATCTTTTCAATTCAGTTCAGGTAATAAATTTAATTTTGTTTTATTATATCCATTTTACATTATTAATGTTATTTTTATTTTTTAATAGACACTAATTATACTACTCAATCAACATCAGCGAATCCAAGTAAGTATTCCCTTTATTATTATAATTATTCTATTTAAATTTATTAACATTTAAATACTATAAATACATAATATACAGTTTCAGAATGCTTGGATGTTCAATTAAGTGAATTAGGTAAGTTATTATTATTTGTAATTTTATTAATATTCTATATCTAATTTATTATTTTTTTATAGAACTAAATGAAATTTGTCAAGATGATGAACAATAATATTGAATGAAGTTTCTTTTTATGTGAAAGTTGAAGTCAGATAGTTTATTGAAGTTCTATTTTTCTTTCATTTATTTGTTATACTTTATAAATTTTTTATCTTAGTTTTTATATTTACATAATTTATTGGATTTTATATTTAAGAATATTCTGTATAAATTATATAAATAAAGATTTAACATTTGATTATATCATCCCTATGAAAAAAAATCATCCAATTTTTGTACAATATTTGTTCAAGTCCGTGTGGAAATTGTACAATTATTGCAGATTTTTGGATAAAAATAGCTATGAAGTTTTTCAAAGCATATTAAAAGTATGCAATTTTTGTACAACTTAAATTTAAGATATAGAAAATGTTCAATTTTTGTGTGATTTTTATACAACTTAAATTTAGGATACAGAAAACATTCAATTTTTGTACAATAAAAATTGTGATTATTGTACAACTTGAAAATAGACTTAAATTTAGGATACAGAAAGCAATTTTTGGGTAATCCTACTATACTACTTTCCATCTTACCTGTATGGTTACATTTGACCACTTTTAGGGTCGAATAGACCACTTTTAACCATTACAAATAGATTTTCCTAAGTAAAGTGATTTATGCAGTAAGGTTACATAAAATTCAACTGCATATTTGCTTATAAATGGGCATCTTCTGGACCCATTGGTGAAATTTTTGTATCATCTTGTAACTAAAAAAAAGTCAAAAACTTTTTATTAGGTTACACAATTAGTTCTGACCGGAATTATAATTTGGCCAGAATTATGCGGTAAAAATCAACTCTTATGTTGATCACGTGATCTGATCGTCAAAATAAATATGACGACGCGAAATGTTTTTGTTTATGTTTTTTTAACCTTTTAACTTTTTTTCAACTTTCTTTTAAAATATCAGGTAAGAAAAACTTGTGTTCTTTATCTTTTTATTTTCCTAACTTTTTACATTTTAATGTTACTAACTTGCTTTCTTCACTAACTTCATACTTTTTTTTATTACTAATACTAATAATTTACTTTTTAACACTACTAATTTGCTTTCTTCACTAACTTCATACTTTTTTATTACTAACACTAATAATTTAGTACTTTTTAACACTACTAATTTGCTTTCTTCACTAACTTCATACTTTTTTATTTAATACTAATAATTTACTTACACTAATAATTTACTTTCTTCTTTGATAATACTAATTTACTTTCATGTTACTAACATACTTTATTTATTTTATTTTCTTACAAATTTTTATATTTATGATTATATCAAATTTAGTATTTTATTTATGAAATATTGTGTATATTTTTTATATTTTAAGTCAATAAAAAAAATTCATAATTTCACTTTATAAATTGCCTGTTATTACTGTAAAATTTAACCTATAATTCCTAAAATATGGCCTAAAAAAATTTGGCTCAAAAATCACACAATAATTGTATAAATTCAGGTCAAAAATAGGATAATTATTGAATGAATTACCATGCAATAATTGTGTGATTTATTGCAATTTTTAGCACAATTATTGTATGGTCAAATATACAGAAATCGTAGTGAATTTAATTGAATGATTTTTCAACAAAAATCACACAGACTTTTTTTATAGGGCATTTTATGCATAATAAATAGTTTTGGTTAATTTGCCCTAAAGAGTTTAAATAAAATTGATGTATTTATTTTAACTTTAATAGTTAAATTTAAAAGGATAAAAAAGCAATTTTATACTAAATGTCTAAATGTGATTCTTAATATAATTGACAACTGGAAATTTTGATGCAATATTACATACATTATAGTTTAATGGGTTCAAATATTCAATAATTTCGTAATTAATTATTAGATATACTACTATTAAGTCGAATACTTTAATCAAATAACCATAGTACATTATCTAAGGAATTTAAAAAATAATAATCAAACCCTATTTTAAAACATAGCGATAGCCTATTATTTAGGAACTTAAAGGTAGTTAGATCAAGTTAACTAAAATTCATTTTTTTTTCGAGATGAAAAGAATTATCACATGATATTCTATCAAATTATATCAGCGTTAATAAGCAACTTTTTCTTCACTTTGATTTCAGCAATTAACCTGATTGATTTTTATTTCGTAATATAAGACCTAATATTTCACCAATAAATTAAATAATTTACATTTATTTTATCAATGATTATTAAATATCAACTATCTCATTTCACCACAATTTGCTTATATCTAACTTTATTTTATTCATTCTCTCGAAAAAAATTTTTTTTTTTTTTTGAACAGAGATAGCCTTTTAGAAGATGGATATTCTTTAATCTGTAAATAACAACAAATAATATTATTCATAGTATAATACCATAATCATCATTATTAGTGAATAATTCTTTATCGGAGGAAAAGTATTATATACAGTATATACAATATACGTATATATACTTATAAACATTATATATTAAAATAATCATTTTGGTTATCTTCAAGATTTTGTTTATACAATCACACTCATATTTAATAGTAAGTGGTCGTTTTTAAACATTTGTAGTCGCATAATAATTGTGTTATTTGATACATACTTCAAATTATACTATAGCAGAAATTAATTCAATATTTTTTAAGTAAAACAATAGTATTTCAAAGAAAAACTAATTTTTAAATCAATCAATTGATCGATCAATGTTAGTAAATTTAGAATATCAACCTAATTCCGGCCGAAATTAATCATAGTGCAGGAAAAATTTCTACTCGTAGTACAAATTTTCTCGAATCCTATGATTAAGAACATTGATCAATTATTATGTGATAACTAATATTTTTTGTTCAATTAAATTCACTGGTCAATATTTGAGAATTAGCTATCGAATTAGTGTCAATATCAATATCAATAGGCAAAAGTATCAATAGAATCAAAAAATGAACTTATAATTATTTATTATATGGCGAAATAAAATGATCCCGGATTTAAGTTATTAACTAAACGTCCTGTATCCCCGAAAACTTTATCAAAATTAACCAATTTCAGCTGCTGCAAAATAAAAGGTTAAAAAATATTTATTTTAGTTTGTATTAATGGTTTTCATATTTTATATTATATTTTATATTCTTATTATATCCATATTTTGATGGATGAAATTTAGTTCTTAAAGCTTCAGTTTTCATGATTTATTTTTCGTAATTACAATCAGAACTTGATGTAATGTCAATGAATTTCACGATAAGGTCAACCTTACTTATAGAAAGAAAATCTTTTGAAAATATAAATGTAGCGGATCTTTATAGATAGAATCAATACAATAATCTTGTACTGATTTCTTGCAACCAGGAAGGAAGATTAAATACAGTAAAATCAATCCTGCTATTTTGTTTTTCAATTAAATAATCTTGAACGTGACTAAATGATTATTCAAGTAGTAGTTCATCAGCGGCAAACAATAATCCAAGAATATCTTCATCCAATTACTCAATAAAATCAATTCACCAGCAGAAATATACTTAAATAACTGACATATTTTTTTTATTATTAAAATAATTCAAATAAATAATGCTTATATTAAATTATTTTAATTATTCACTTTAAATCAATTCAAAAATAATTGGGACAACATTTGGTTTATTAACAAAATTATATTATTTTTCTTTGTAATCCAATCGTCTTAAAGAGCACCTTTGAAATAAGAACGAGCATGTAAAATAACTGAATGTGTTCGAAATTCCTTTATATTTTAATTTGAATAATAACATTATAGTCGCCGGCATTATTTAACATATTAAGAAAAAGTCCTTTGAAAGATTGGAATGACTAATAGTTATTAGTAATTCGGCATAAACCGTACATCAACTTTTTTTCTTTTTAATATCTCATTTATAGGTTTGATGCATCGGTGATATTAATTTCGAATGTTAAAAGATAATTCCGAACTTCCAATTATAAAAGTAACTTGTTAGGGTATACAATAAGCCGGTGCTATTAAATTATTTAAACAATATTTATCAATCCATGAAGTAAAGAAACCATATTGATTTGTTTAATTAACGTTAAATCAAGTTTACTGCAGTTTTGATTTACTTAAAGATGCAATCTAGCAAAAAAAAAAATAAGCAAAAACAAATTTAATGCCCGAGTAAGTATATATAATTATCTATTCAGAAAATTATTGTTAACGCAGGCCCTAAGGCCATCTGTTATGTTGATTATTATTCTCACATATTTTCACATAATAAATACATATATATATAATTTTTTGTAATTATAAATTTGTTAATACACAAACTGATTTTATTTATTATAAAAGAAATTTTACAATCAGTGTTAAAAAAAAATATATAAATAGAAGTTAATTGTCCGAAGCGTTAGCGAAAGACTATTTACTGTACTGACCCCCGTTTTTGTCCCTGTCACAATCGACAATTTTATTTCCTTTTTTTGAATATATATCACGATTTATGTAACACTATCTATTTGGCCCCATGACACGTAGGTCATGTAACATTTGCGAGTTATGCAACGCGAAGGACTAAACGGTTTCCGTTTTCCTA